TAAATATCAGGATGCGTATCGGTAATCGAAAATTTGTGAATTAGGCAAAATATAGATTGCAAATTTAATTAATCCATTTTTATCAAATTATACATTCATAGATTTATGCTTATCCCTCAAGTTTACATTGTCCATAATCCAGAAACAAATTTTGTATTTAGTATTTTTTCAGCCAGTCTATCTGGAACAGTTGGACATGGAAACATTGTAGGAGTTTATGCCATAAATATAATCACCTTCAGAAATATTTTTATTTGTTTTAATAATCTGTTTTATATGTGTATGAACCGTGATTGTGTTTTTTTGTGGAAGTTATTAATAAGCATGATTGTGTTTATTCATGTTTTAATGAAATCAAAGAACTATAGAAGATTCGAATAAAAGCTTATAAATGCGTAAATAAATCGACCAAATGTTACGTGAAAATGAAGGTTAAAACAGCTAATAATTAAGTAATTACTAAGTGTATAAATATAATAAAGTAAACTTCACAGAAAATTCTGGAAAAATAGGACTATTATTTTTTAGTGATGTATTAATTTTAGCATTAGTAACATTACTTCGGTCGTATCAGCTTCTGTTTGGCAATCTCTTTTCAATGCTGATTGCAGACATTCAGTTGTTGTGAGATCCAAATCAATGGGAGAACAAAAAACTGGATTATTTTCATCACATACAGTCAAACTTGGGCAATGATGCTCTAACTCTGGTGGTTCAGTATTCCCGTACTCGTCGGGAGAGTAGCAAAGCTGAAGATGAACAATTGAAGTATGCAATTCAATAAATAATATATATATATATATATATAATTATTATTAAATTTCGGAAATTAAATTTATAATATATTATTTATAATTTATTTTTTATTATTTATATAAAATCTAGAATACTTAATAAATTATAACAAAAAATCTAACTTAACTATGGATAGGGAGACACAAAAAGCATATTTATTTTGCAATGTGATATCAGTAAAAACAATTAACCAATTAAAAATAACAGCTGCAAATTTGTAAATAACAGCCATATTTATTGCTTAATCTACTTATTTAATTTTTTCTTTGTTTGAAGTTACCGTGAAATCGAAAAAAAAAATATCTTGTCCAATCTCATAAGCGCAAACTTGCGAAAGATTAAATTAACTATTGGGCGTTATTGACGGAAAATTGCGTGCTGATTTAGTTGAAAGGGAAATTGTTAAAAAATATAAACAAATTATAATCGGGAAAATAAAAAATGGGGAGTCAGTGCTTAGAAAATGGCACGTTTATTCCGAGAAATTGAATTGTGATTTTTGTTTTTGTTGCAAATGTTTCGCATCTGATGAACTTTGAATGTTGAAGATATGCGTGGTTAGGGTTATGGAAATGGAACAAATATGAGAAATGAAAGCAAAATTTACTTTGGAACGAAAATCTTAAGGCATTTTTTATACCTTGTGGTATCCATACTCTAAATTTAATAATTATTAACTATGCAGAAATAATACATATCAAATATAATTAGCTTTTTTTCAATATAGTACAAAAAATGTGTAATTTCTTTGCATTTTTACTGATTTTTTGACAATACTTCTAAAATACGTTGAAAGTTTAACTTTAAAACACAATCTGATACTCTGAATATGACGGAAAAGCAAAGATGAATACAATTCGGCTCTTACGATATCAACAAGTAAAAGATTACGACGCAATTTTGAATATTGTAAATAATGAGAATTTTTTTTTTTGGGGCTTTAGCCCAAATATTAATATTGCACAAATGTAAAAAATAATTGAAAATTTAAAAATATTTGATTATAATCAACCCGCGAATCGTCTAGATTTTCTAAATAAATTCAAAATCAATGTATTTTATTTGCTTATGCATTATATCTGTGTGTACTAAATTCAGAATAATAAAAAAATATTTTTAATTATAATTAATTTTAATGATAAACTGTTAAAACAACTAATATTAATAAGGGGAGGGGGGCGCTAGAAAAAAAGTTGCATGCGGGCGCTAAGGACTCCAGGACCGGCCCTGTATATAATATATATATATATATTTATATATATGTATATATATATATATATCATATTTAACTTAAGATTTTGAAATTTATCACAAAGGCTAAATTCAAATTTTCTGTTATAATACCGTATACTTTGTTCATAATCTTTTGTTCTTAGTGCTGAGAAGATTTTTAGATTACATAAGAGTATTAGAACGGTACTTTTCGGTTTTGTATATATATATATATTCGTGTATACAAATATATATAAATTATTTTCAATTTACCTGGTACGAGTCGTTTGTTACGCAGCGAAATCCTAGAGCACCACAATGTTGAGGAACAGATGTATACAAAGAGCACTGGGTGGTAAGTTCCACTTGCATCAAGGAAGCAGTAAAATCATTCAGCGTTGTTATTATTAAAATCTATAATCAAAATTTGAAATCATACTTGTGAGTGCATTAAGGAAATAGTTATTTCATCGTTGAGGAGCGTTTTTCTTGCACCAGTTTTGCCTGGTGCCAAACCTGTATTGCTCAAAGTTATAGTAAATTTCAATCATTTATTTATTTTAATTATAATAATAATAATATCAAATAATTATATATTAAAAATGAAAAAGGTGAATGATTAATGCCTGAAGGCCAACTATCATAAAATCTGCAAGTATATACAAATAGCAATTATATTTATAGGCAATTTTCGTAGTACGTAGCTCTGTTCTGTAGTGGGTTTAACACCTCTGTGACAGTTTGATCGACCTACAGTTTAATTTCTAGTGTCGCAAATATTTGAGAAAAACATGATTTTAAAAATATAAGATACTACTATTTCTATGGTGTAATTGATATCTCAAATATTTTTTTTAATATTAATTTATGAAACTTACAATTGTTGGTAGTGACCAAAAGTATTGCATGTTTTTTTATGTCTCTTAGCATTGGTTCAAAATATATAAGTTTGTGATTTTTTGTGATCTAATAACTTCAAATTAATAAAAAAATATATATCTTTACAAAAACTATAGAAAATATTATTAAAACGACATTGACACTTTGTCAATGCTTTTGTTTTTCAGAAACTCATAAAACAAATTTGATATTATTTGGTAGAAATTTGTAGGCGTTTTTCGGATTTGTTATTTATTGATACACAATTTGTACATTAATGAGAAATTAATTACTTTCATTATCATTATAATAACACGAATAAGCTTTGCTTATATAAATATTTTTTATCTAAAAATTTTTGTCCAAAGGATACGGCAACAAAACTTCATAAAACATGTTTTTAACTTCCCGTAGGGCAAGTTATAATAATCGCAAAAAAATCGAAAATAAAAATTTTTATATATCTTTACGTTTCAAAGATTTCTGAGTATTCTGGCAAACCTTAGAAAAAATGGATGTATGTGTTTGTGTGTGTATATGTGTGTGTGCGTATGTGTGTGTGTGCGGATACAAATTTTCGTCGACGATTTCGGGAACACCGATCAACTGATTTGAATAATTCAAAAAACATTTGATTCGTATTGATAAGGAGACGTGCTGATTAGTTTTTGGCGAAGGTAGGCCTAGCCGTTCCGAAGATACGGGGCAAAAAGTGCCAAAAATGTTAACTCAGTTTTTAGGAGAACGGAGCGTCCGATTTTAATACACCGATCAACTGATTTGAATAATTCAAAAAACATTTGATTCGTATTGATAAGGAGACGTGCTGATTAGTTTTTGGCGAAGGTAGGCCTAGCCGTTCCGAAGATACGGGGCAAAAAGTGCCAAAAATGTTAACTCAGTTTTTAGGAGAACGGAGCGTCCGATTTTAATAATTCAAAAACCGTTTTACTTATATTGACAAGATAAATAATTTATCAAATTTTTATGAAGGCAGGTCTAGCGGTTTCAGAGATCTAATGAAAAAAGTAAAAAAAATG